GATAATGTTCCGTTAATTTCTGGAGTATTGATGATATATTAGGAGAACAGTTTTGAAGACGAGGTCATTCAGGGTCATTATTCTTTATATAGTACTTTGATAAAAAATATTTTATTTTGTGTTGTATTGGACATATGACGTGCTGGGAGGACCATGTGAATTGTGATCTTACAGTATAGACCACACCGGCCACCACACACCGGCCACCACATACCGGCCACCACATACCGGCCACCACATACCGGCCACCACATACCGGCCACCACATACCGGCCACCACATAGCTGGTGGTGAGGGAATAACTTATTACTTTACTACTAGTACAGCGAAACAAGAAAAGATATACACTTTCAAAATTAAGCAAGATAAGAGAATACAACTTAGTCCAAGTGCTCAATCTTTCCATAAGTGATCCCGGTCTCCCTTATCGCCACTCCCTTATAGACTCCTGAGATCGTATTTAATGTCTCAGTTCCGTCGTAGTAGACCGTCCTGACGGTCGCAGTGTAGGGGATATCAGCTTTGTACTTGGCACCAGATACCACAGCTGTTACCTTGGACCGTGCTGGTAGTTGCTTCCACGTGTCGATTCTGTGCGTGTATTTCCTTGTGGTGGTGTCACCAGTGTCAAAAGTAGTGGTCCGAGCGCTGACTGTTGTTCTTGTTCCGAGGAGGGGTACTCTAGCTCTGATCTCTACTGCTACGCTCAGTTGGTTAGCCTTAGTGTATGTAAAGGAGCTGGATTCAGCTACGGAGTAGGCTATGGTTCTTGTCACTCGCTGTGGTTGATCAGAGAAATTATTCAAAATTGTTGGGCTCATCTTAACAGGAGCAGTCCGAAGTATTTCATTAAATAGATCGTACTGTACGTTGTACATGAAGATCTTCTCAATTGGTTTCTCTTGGTTAGCTGATTTTCACTCCTAGTACGGTAGACTCCCTGACATTGTTACCGTCAGCTTTAAGCAGATAAGCTGAAGATTCAGATTGCCTGAAGTATCCAGGGACACTAATGAAGGTTCCTGCATCAATTCCATTAGCATCATCCCCAGCCCTCATCACAGTCCACATACTAAGATCAGAAAATGCCCCTGAGCCTTTGGTGTTCTACGTGTGGACAGTATCCGCGCGGACTACATGCTCATTCTTTACGCAGCAGTACTCACTGGAATCGGGCTGCGTAGAATGACTCCTCACTGCTACCTCTCCAAGACAGGTGTAGCCGATGTCAGGGTCTTGAGCAGCGGTCACTGATATCAGCGCTACTGCAAACAGGATCTTGATCTTTCTTCTGTAGGACTGCTTGTAGTTGTGACTTTAGGGTGTAGGTTTAGGTTTCGATCATAAATTCTGCATGTAAATTTTAGTCACAATATACATACAATATATGAAATAACATGTTTTCGTTATTTGCATGCATTATGCAATGATTTAGTTAGTCATTACCATTCCCTGCGCAATTTGATCTTATTATTTTGGGTTTCCGCCATAGGGAGAATGACAGAAATAGCGAGAATTTCAGCATGAACTGTCGTTGGCCTATAAGATTTGTGGGTAATGTCATGAGCCGCAGTACCAATGGAACAACCGTCAGGTTAATAGTGAAAAGACATAGCTTCGAGAAATAGAGAAAACTCCTAGAGAACTGGTAACTTGTCCAGAATGAGGAGAATTTTAATAGAGGAGGGGCAAACCACAGGGGATATTCAACGTACAGATCCAAATAACTACTATTACTACTAATATTATGTCACTAGAGGCGCTAGAAAAATGTCATTTACTTGCCAGTTGGCAGTTACCAAGACCTGGCCAATGTCAAATGGCTAATGATCCAAATAATTTGATAGCAATGAACCACATGGAGGTTAAGAATATTGGAGTTATAGACACAGTTAATTCTCGGAAATTCGTTGTCTAAAAAATTACTTCTGTGATCTCAATTTGAGGTAAATTTTGAGGATCTTATAAATGAAATGAAGTGGGCAGTCAAACCAAATTATTGCAATGTCAAATGGTTAATGCTGGCAAATTAATCAAATAATTAGATTTATTCAATTGAGTAACACCTTGAAAAGTTCAAAACCTAAAATATAAGATCTACGTCCCAATTAAGTTGTTTTCACAAAAATAGCCCAAAAATAGTCCTCTAATAGTTAGGGCAACAGTAATAAACCCTGTGAATAAATTCGTAACAAAGGTTTTTCTAAAGGAATGTCCCTGAGCTGTATAAAAACCTTTGTTACGAATATATTCACAGATGGTCCCATAAATAGCAATTCTTGTCCTAACTAAAATACATTTTGGCCACGTTGACATAAAATCCCCAAAGATAGTGAGAGATGATGTGGAAGTAGTAGTCGATGGTCTCGTCAGGAATGAAGGTAGGGTACTCCGTGTACCAGGCAGTATAGTAGTCGGTGGAATAGTTGCAGCCCTCTTCGTCCTCGCTATCTGGACAATCAGCATCTCCGTCACAAATAAAGGAATTGGGGATGATGTTCCCGGAGAGACATTTGAAGGTGTCAGGTACAGGAGGACTTGGGTAGGGTGTTGATGGTGGGGGTTCACAGCCACCGTCGGGTGTTTTGGGTCCTTCCTCGCCACCGCAGTCTTCCTCATCATCTCCAAATAGACAATCCCTCATTCCATCACATCGCCAGTAAGAGGGAATAATGATATCAGACAGAGCGCACCGGTAGTCACCATCACTTGTAGGGCCAGTGGTAGGTTCAGTGGTGTTTTCCTTCCAATCAGGTGTACTTGTTTTCCAATCAGTAGTCCAATCATCGCCGTAGCTTGTTGACCACATCCAATCTGTAACACATTTCCAACTTGGAGTCATCCAGCCAGTCGTAGATTCGGTTGTTGGCCAGGTAGTATTTATTGAGTCGGTTGTTGGCCAGATAGTAGTCATCCATTCGGTTGCTGTTACCCAGCTTGAGCCACATCCCGAAAGCCAACCCGAGACATTATCCGTCCAAGAAGAGGACCAAGAGGAGGTCCCAGAAGTAGTAGGCGAGGCGTGCCCAAGTCCGACCAAGAGGAGAGTTAGATAGAGAGTTGTCATCGTCATCACGTCGAGAAGTGAGAGCGTTACAAGTTAGAGGTATAAGTACTATGTTCAAACAAATAGTTCACTACTAGGATCACGTGCCAGCCGCCAGGGAGCTCGTGCAGGGAGAAATGTTCAGTAATTAAAAAAACAGAGCTTGAGTAACACAACAAAGGAAAACAGAGCGTCCTGGGCGAGTACAGAGCGAACTTGGCGAGTACAAAGCGAGCTGGCCTGGGGACACCTAAGACTCATTCCTCAAAGTATTGAGTCCGGGAAAGTATTGTAAAATCAAACAAAACAAGAGAAAAGAGGAGCTAATGATTAAATTGGAATAAACAAAAGTGCACGGCGCTTTAATTAAAAAAACCTGGTTGAAATTTGCGTTAATTTACGTCTTAAGTATGGTCTATATTAAATTTTGAGGATCTTATAAATTAAATGAAGTGGGCAGTCAATTAACTTTGCTCCTTCTTTTGCTCATTGAGAATTATTCCATATGAGGTCACGTGACCACAGCTCTCATCATGTCATGTAAAACCAAATCATTGCACTGAACCAATCACTGACTGTTTTATGACGAAACTAGAATTACTAGCAATTTTACTTCAATTTATAATATCCCATTTCTTATTATCATGAACCATTTTTTTCATAATTAATGCTTCTATTATTGTTAGGTAACACAAATATAGAAATAAATAAAAAATACAACTGTTATGGATGATACCCCCTGCTGGGTACTCATGATGCCTAAAGACCAGTATTGGGGAGGAGGTTTGTCATGACGTCATCATATCGTTTTGTTGATGAACTATTGTCATCATTATCTTCTTCGTAGGGGACTGTGGTCATGCTTAAAAGACCACTATAAGATAGAGTATTGGAGCCCTGTGCTTACCTCGGTAAAATTGTATACGTGGAAATTAAAAGTTAAACTATTAGTTTTTTTCATAATTTTTATGTTAATTCGACAGAAGTTACCCTGAAGTACTAAAGTATAGACCGCACCGGACACCGGATAGCTTACGTTATTCTAAATACTACTAATACAGAGGAACAATAAACGAGACAGAGTTTCAAAATAATCTCAAATAGCCAGGATATTAGAATGCAACTTAGTTTAAGTGCTCAATCTCTCCATAAGTGATCCTGGTCTCCCTTATCGCCACTCCCTTGTAGACTCCTGAGATCGTACTTAATGTCTCAGTTCCGTCGTGGTACACCGTCCTGACGGTCACAGTGTAGGGGATATCAACTTTGTACTTGGTACCAGATACCACAGCTGTTACCTTGGATCGTGCTGGTATTTTCAACGATAATGTGACCTTATCCATGGTTGTCGTCGAGACGGTGTCACCAGTTTCAAATGTGAAGGTCCGCTCGCTAAGCTCTGTCATTTTTCCGATAACAGGTACCTTTGCTTTGATCTCTATAGCTACGCCCAGTTGTTTAGCCTTTGTGTATGTAAAGGAGCTCGATTTAGTTGTGGAGTAGGAGATGGTCTTGCGCATTGTTCGTGTTTTTTCAGAGGAGTTCTCGAAAATTGTTGAGCCCAACGTAACAGGAGTTGTTTGTCCTATTTCACCAAAAAGATCGTACTGCACGTTGTACATAAAGATCTTCTCAATTGGTTTCTCTGCCCAAGTTTGGGCAGTTGCCACTGATATCAGTACTACTACAAACAGAATCATGTTTCTTCTTCTGTAGTTGCTTGTAGATGTGTCTTTAGGTTCAGGTTTCGATCATAAATTCTGCAATGTAAATATTGGTAAATATTGGTCATAATATAAAATATACGATATATAATATATATGTATAATATGGGCATATTTTCTATAGTCCATATTATATGGCCCAAAGAAAATTGGAGCTAGAGCTCCAATGTTCTAAGGATTAGTGTAATCACTCTCATGTTATTTGATGTTTACAACTTTTACAACTACAGATACAACGCACCCTACAAGAAGAATATTCAGTTATGGGTACAGAACATCTCCTCCTCTGCCGAGATAATTGAAAGCTGGCTGGTGGTACAGAACCTGTGGGTCTACCTAGAGGCCGTGTTTGTGGGGGGAGACATCGCCAAACAACTTCCTAAAGAAGCTAAACGTTTTCAAGGTACGTAGTACGTACTGTACGTATCTCTGTAGTACTGCGTTTTACAGAGATTTTAGGTATTTAAGGTGCATTAAATAAGAGTTTAATAAAACCGTACTAACGCTAATTACTTCCAGGCATAGACAACTCGTGGCAGAAAATAATGCAGAGAGCCCACGAGACGACTAACGTGGTCCACTGTTGTGTCGGAGATGAGACACTGGGCCAGCTTCTGCCACATCTGCTGGAACAGCTTGAGCTCTGCCAGAAGTCCCTTTCTGGGTATCTTGAGGCTAAACGTCTTATATTCCCAAGGTTGGTAGGACCGAGCAGTTTTATATTCTAGTTGCTAATGCAATTTACTGACTCCTCCTTAGACACAGAATGAACATCTGCCGTGAAAACTCTTTGTATATAGCTGGCGAACCATGGTGCTAAGGTCATGGCTCTTAGGTTTTTAAATTGCGATTTCAGGAAATAATGGCAGGTCTAGCTTAAGATTCCAGCTCTGAGCTCTTAATGCATTTCATGTCCTTCCCTGGACACAGAATGAACATCTGCCATTAGAAGCTTTTGTAAATACTTGGCGAACCATAGTACTAAGGTCACGGCTCTGGTTTTCCCTGGGTTTTAAAAGTGCGATTTCATGAAATAATGGCACAATGTCTAACATGTAAGTGATAAGTCAGGCCCTAACAAAGAACCTTAAACCGCAGGTTCTTCTTCGTGTCTGACCCGGCGTTACTGGAGATATTGGGTCAGGCTAGTGACTCACACACGATACAGGCTCACTTACTGAACGTGTTTGATAATGTGGCTACGGTTCAGTTCCATGACAAGGTCTACGATCAGATAACAGCTGCTTGTTCTAAAGAGGACGAGGTGGGTTTTAGTTTATATTTTGAAATAAATGTGAGGCTGAACCAAGGGGGCCCACAAGATGATAGCATGATGATGCTCCGTTACTACTAGGGTTTGGCGTCCCTATAAGAAGGGGTGCCGGGGTATCTAATGGGTAGGGGTGGAGGGAAAGGGGATGAGGTCCAGTATTAAGACGTGTACAGAGACTTAGGGACCCGGCACGTGGTAATGAGGCTGAGTCAGAACATTGTGTGTGACGACATGGTCACGTGATAACTTGTGGTGCGTGTTAAAGTGTGGTTTGTCAAACTATCTTCCTGGTTTTGTAACCCAAATAATTGTCTCCTAGGTGATACAACTAGAGAAACCAGTAATAGCTCAGGGTGGCGTTGAGCTTTGGTTAGGATCTCTAATGCAGATGATATTCAGTTCCATTCACGGTATCATCAGACAAGCTTGGTATGCCATCAACGCGGAGGACTTCGACCTTCTCAAGTTCATATCCATGTTCCCAGCTCAGATATCCCTCCTTGGAATTCAGTTGCTGTGGACACGTGATGCAGAGATTGCGCTGAAGCACGCGCGACACGACAAGAAGAAGATGCAGGATGCTAACGAATCGTTTTTGACTCTGTTAAACACGCTTATCGCTCAGACAACAAATGATTTGGAGAAATTCGAACGAATTTGTTACGAGACTATCATTACTATACACGTCCATCAGGTCAGCATGTAATATTTTCATACTCTCTTGACAGTTGAAACTCTGTGCAAATCACCTTTCATCAAATACTATTATTTCTGGTACGTTGTACATCACAATCATATTGTGTTAATCTAACAAATAAATCAATTATGATCATCTGTTCAAGTCTAGTTCGTCTGTGAAGTTTTAATATGTTATTGCAGAGAGACATATTCAACGAGCTGGTGAAGACACACGTAAAGTCACTAGGTGATTTCGAGTGGCTAAAACAATCCAGATTCTATTATGTTGAGGATGTAGATCAATGTCAGATCAGAATTACTGACGTTAACTTTGAGGTAAACACACCTATACTAGGCTCTGCCCAGTTGCTGGGGCATACTTTTCCTTCATAACCAGGTGTAGCCAGTCCACATCCTGGCTCCATAAGACTTGTTTTAATTCTTAATGAAAAGCTGAGCTTTTAAAGCTCGAATAACCAGAGTGACAATGTATACTAAAACAACAAATATAACACCCAATTAAGCTGCCTCACCCCCACAGTACCAGAACGAGCCGCTGGGTTGCACTGACAGACTAGTCATCACCCCACTGACTGACAGATGTTACATCACTATCGCTCAGGCTCTTGGTATGAGCAGTGGAGCTGCTCCTGCGGGCCCTGCTGGTACAGGTCAGTGGATTAACTGCTTAGTTTGGAGAATTTAAAAAATTGTCTGTGATTCCAACCGTCGTGTAAGGGAAAATCGTAAACAGTTTAATATACCATGAAGTTTGGTGTTCCACTGAGCTTGTTATAAAAGATTCTGTATTTTAATTTTGGTCTAAATCGATCGATTGTACACGATAATACAGAATGAAGGCCTGTTTCTGGTAAATTGATATTATGAAATGTTGGTGTTTAAACCAACCTTCTCGATTGGTTTAAACACCTTTACAGCATATATAAACTGATAAAGAACATAATAAACTAGTTTCCCGGTAATTTTGGGGAAATCAGACATCTAGAAAATGTTTCCATTTTGAGGAATCATTATATGGGTAAATTCGCGCGCGAAAATGTTCAGCTTATTTGTATAAAAAGTTTATCTTAAGCAGTCACCATGACAGAAATAGGAGTACGTGGGCGCGCGTTTGTTGTTTTTTGGGTATATAACTATATATATAGTCTATACAGGCCATATCAATATATAGGCCATATCAATATAAGGGTCTTCGATTATCGATATCGAGGCTACTAACATTTGCGAACTTAACTTTTAACCTCTGATATTTGATCTATATTTCAGTGATCGCTTCCAATTTCATAAACTGAACTTTATTTTGGTTATCTATACATATTTGGGAGACCCTTCTCTTTACACTTGAGTCTTTAGGTCTTGATTCATATGAATGACGTGCTTCCAGCTAGTAATTTCATATTTATTTACATAAAGTTACTCTCAGGTAAAACAGAGACTGTAAAAGACATGGGAAGATGTTTGGGTAAATATGTTGTCGTGTTCAACTGTTCCGATCAGATGGATTACCGTGGTCTTGGCAGGTTTGTTGATTTTTTTTTGTTGGGGACTGGCCCGTGGTACCAGCCAATGTTTACTCAAAAAATATATATATTGTAAATTATAAATCAATTGGTTCGGTTATCCGTTATCGGTCTTCCTCTTTTTACCAAAGCAAATTTCAACCTTCAGCGATCCAGACCAGAGTTCTTTGTCAATGATTTAGAGTTCATTATATTATATGTACATATTTTAAATTCTGTGAGCTAAAAAAGAACGATTTCAGGATTTACAAAGGTTTAGCTCAGTCTGGTGCTTTTGGTTGTTTTGACGAGTTCAACAGGATAGAATTACCAGTATTGTCCGTAGCAGCTCAGCAAATCCACATCGTCTTGACTTGCAGGAAGGAGCGCAAATCAGAGTTCATTTTCAGTGATGGAGATATTGTCAAGATGAATCCTGAATTTGGCATATTCTTAACCATGGTATGAACAATTGTGTGGTTCCTTTTCTTCAAATTGTTGTCGGCGTATTTAATACCATTCGTCCCTCTCTTGGGTGGTTACTTAATCTCCATATAACTTGTGGTTACGTAATAAATGTTAAAGCTCTGAATGATTCCCAGAATCCCGGTTACGCTGGACGTCAAGAGTTGCCGGAGAATCTGAAGATTATGTTCAGAACGGTGGCTATGATGGTGCCGGACCGGCAGATTATCATGTGCGTCAAACTCGCTGCTTGCGGTTTCATCGAGAATCTCATGTTGTCCTTCAAGTTCTATACTTTGTACAAACTTTGTGAGGAGCAGCTTACCAAGCAGGTCATTAATTGATTTTTTATTACTTTAATTAATTTTTTAATGACTGGTTAATGTTACAGATTCTCATTCAGGTTTAGATTTCATACTATTTTGACTTTGGTTACATGGTCAACATAAATTTTAATCCATCCAAATTATGAGCATTGCCGGATGATTAAGTTATTAATATGGCTTTGATCAAATTACTAGAATTCAAAATTAGTATTAAACAAATTACCCAGAGCTACAATTAAAATCAGTGTCGCTGCAGGTGCATTATGATTTCGGACTAAGAAACATCCTGTCAGTACTAAGAACTCTGGGAACAGTAAAACGAGCGAATCCAGAGGACAGTGAGAGTAGTATAGTGATGAGAGTCCTCAGGGACATGAACCTTTCTAAACTTATTGATGAAGATGAGCCCCTCTTCCTTTCACTCATCGACGATCTATTTCCAGGAATTGTGTTGGAGAAGGCGAGAAAATTTTAAATTTTATTTATATTTCACTTTCAGGTTGTTTTTTTTAGAAGATTTTACGGGATTCGATAAAATGTTACTGTTTTAAAAATTGTGTTGTCACTTGGCTGTCATGTGGGGAGTGTTCCTCTTATATTGGACCTCAACAATTTACAAATAAACCTGTTTAGGCTGGTTACCCAGAGATTGAGGCAGCTATTTTGACTGAGGTTCAGAAGCGAAAACTTGTTTATCACCCTCCATGGGTTCTGAAACTGATTCAGGTGAGTACATTTAGTGGGTATATTGTTGAATAGTACAATAGAAATGAAAAATCAAAGATTTTGAATTTCAATTTATCTGTCAATTACACACCGAGGACTATAACTTCATCCTCAGTTATTCGAGACACAACGAGTACGGCACGGTATGATGATGTTGGGGCCAACTGGCGCTGGTAAAACAGAGGCAATACACGCTCTCATGGATTCTATGGGTGAATGCGGGTCCCCTCACAGAGAAATGAAGATGAACCCTAAAGCTATAACCGCACCTCAAATGTTCGGTATACTTGATGTAGCTACAAATGACTGGACAGATGGGATATTCTCCACCCTTTGGAGAAGAACTCTGAAGGCGAAGAAAGGAGAAGCAGTTTGGATTACTCTTGACGGGCCTGTTGATGCCATCTGGATCGAGAATTTGAACTCTGTGTTAGACGATAACAAAACTCTAACACTTGCTAATGGAGACAGAATCCCAATGTCCCCGAATTGTAAAGTACTTTTTGAAGGTAATTTTTAAACTGTATGTGCTCAAACATCACAATTTTTCATTTACACCTACTTTCACAATCAATCATAACTTAATAAAGTTGTTCATCCAAATTGACTATCACATCTCACTAATGCACCAGTGCACAACATTGACAACGCTTCACCCGCCACTGTATCACGGAATGGCATGACCTTCCTCAGTTCCTCAGTTCTTGACTGGAGACCCATCTTACAGGTATGATTGTACTGGTAGTGGGTACTGGGTAAGCCACAGGACATAGCTGTGGGATGGTGCAAAATATGAATTTCCTGGATAATACCATTTCATTGGTGCTATTTAAAAAAGCTTAAAGTCTTTAACTTTGAACACAATAGCGCAGGTGACCGTAATGTTCCTGCCAGGCTGCGAAGGCCCGGCTGTCAAATAAAATTTGGACCGTGACCTGCGTCTTAGAAAAATAGGAATAGAAGGTTAAGCCATTGAACCATTTCAATTGTCGCCGTCCATCAACATAGCTGTAGTCTTGTATGATGGCGCACATCTGAAATTATAATGGAAAGCTCTGACGTATATTATTTTACAGGGATGGTTAAACACCCGGCCGTCCACTGAAATTGGAATATTTACAAATCTTTTTGAGAGGATCTTTGAAGACGCTTACAATTACGTTCTCACAATGCTCAAACCGAAGATGGTTACTCTCCAATGTGATTACATCGCACAGGTATTTTTGACCTTGACAGGTGCATTTAAATCGAACTTTTTATAGTAGCATAATTATCAAGTTACCTGGTTTATGGTTAACTAGGTACCTAGTTACCCTTCTTACGACCTGCGTAAAAACGAAATAAGAAGATTTTCAAAAACTGTAGACGGTAGAATAAACAAAAATGTGCAATATTTATTATGTAATGTTCTCAAAGATTGAATGCCGGAAACATTGCCTGGTATAAAATGTTATTAAGGTTTGTGTTTTTCAGTCGTGTAACCTACTGCAAGGCCTAGTCCCGGTCAGCGATGGTGCAGACGGTCCAGTCAGTCACTGCTCCCCTGACCATCTCGAGAGACTCTTCATCTTTGCTATTATGTGGAGTTTAGGTACATTTCTTTGGTAGTGAAGAGGGGTTATTTTAGGAAGAGGGTATCTAGAGATTTGATAACTGTACAGCTACATAATTATTATAGGTGGGATGTGGGATTAGATCTTCTAACGCAATCTGGCGAGGCGAGACGATTAGAATTAGTTTTCAGGAAATAAATGCTTGCAGGGGCGGTGTTGGAGCTTGAAGACAGAGCAAAACTGCAAGAATTCATCGCACAGAAGAAATGTTTGGACCTACCACCAGCTGATGCCTCTAAAGGGGACACCATATTCGAGTACACCGTGTCCGATGAAGGACAGTGGGTTCACTGGAACAGTCTAGTTACTCAATATCTTTATCCTGAGGACTCTGTCCCCAGGTTTGAATTTTACAATTTACAATTTACATTTTCATTGTGAACATTGAAGTGGTGACTATGTTCACTTGTTCTGTGGTATCATTGTAACCATAGTCGATTTTTTCAGATATGTAGAGATTTTGGTGCCCAATGTGGACAATGTTCGAACGAACTTCTTGATTGAGACCATCAGTAAACAAGATAAAGCAGTCCTACTTATTGGTTAGCAACAGGGTTTCAATTATTTTCTAAAACTTAGCATTTCTCATCATTTTCGCTGCATTTCTTGCTTCTACTTTTATCCGATTCAAGATTCCGTGCCTCAAAATACCATGTTAATTGTAGGGAAAGTTTTCTCAGTGAAAGTCTTGCTCAGGTGAACAAGGTACAGCGAAGACAGTGGTTGTTAAAGGTTACATGAATGAGTACGATCCAGATGAGAGACTTAGTAAATGTATGAACTTCTCGTCAGCCTCAACTCCGGGAATGTTCCAGGTGGGACTGCATTTATGTTTAATGTTATCGTTATTTGGTAACTGAACAATTTAAAATACTAAAAGTTAACCGCACTAACTGGCAAATTGCGTCCATATATGGTGCGTCTGGTCTGATGAACGGTTGCTTTTTGAACTACTTGGTGGTGGTTGCAAAGATCTTGGCATGTACCAGATGAAATAAAATTGGTGGTTTATATATATAATAATATTTATCACGATAAATCTGAAATTTAAAATGCTTATATCTAAAATCGCAAACTGTCAAATTGCGTACATATTTGGGTCGTCTACTCTTTGATTGCTAAATTGGTGAAGGATCTGGGTATTATTTGGAAATAAAGAGCTGAGCTGTGAGCAAAAAGTGAACTTTTGATTTTCACCAAGCATGGCCTGGTTAATGGAGTACCATTGTCCACTATTTTAGCTTGCAAAGGTCTCAATGGCAACAAAAGTACACAAATGGCAGCGAAAAACGGAAAGGTTAACTCTTCGGATTTCAAATCTCAAATTAGGGTTTTTATCTTGAAGACTCAATTTAAATTCTGAGCATGTACATAATTGTATATTATACATTGTACATTGTACATTGTACATTGTACATTGTACAACGTCCGCTTTTTACGAAAACAGCTGGTAACCTTACCTTAAATTTTCAGGCTTCAATTGAAAGCTACGTTGAGAAACGGATGGGAACAACATTCGGTCCACCCTCTGGAAAGAAGATGACTGTCTTTATAGACGATGTTAACATGCCTGTCATTAACGAGTGGGGAGACCAGATCACTAACGAAATTGTAAGACAACTTATGGAACAACAAGGATTCTACAACCTGGAGAAACCCGGTAAATTCAGTAAAATTAGGGTTTTCAATAAATATAAACTAAGAGCCAACAACCAAGTATAATTTCTGTGGTCGTTAGGAATTTAAGGTCTTTGAAAGTTAGCTTACTTCTTTTATCTACCATTACACTGCCCACAGGAGATTTTACACACATAGTTGACATATCTCTAATTTCTGCCATGATCCACCCGGGTGGCGGTCGAAACGACATTCCCTCAAGACTGAAGAGGCAATTTAGCATCTTCAACTGTACTCTTCCTTCAAACAACTCTATTGATCAGGTGACAATATTCTGGACCTGAGGTTTTTCCTGGATAAAATTATTGTATTATTATGTAAAAAATTCATATTAAACGGATGCATGACTTTTGTTTAAACTCAGGTCTTCCGAACAATTGCATGTGGATATTTCTGCACGGCTAGAGGATTTACCCAGGATGTCTGTGACACTGTTGCTTCTCTGGTTCCTCTTACAAGGGCTCTGTGGCAGGTAAACTAGAGGAGGGTACTGAGCAAGTTCTAGCTGGAATTGTTAAGTTATTCCTGTCTTTATATTACATGTTAAGTCAGGCACCGTGAAATAATGCTGCAATTGTAAAGTTTTTATTTATCTATATATTTTCGACAGAGCTGTGAGCGTAGTAGAAATTGGGGGTGTTCAGACTATAATATCCCCTCTGAAAGTGCGTATTAAACAATTCACACTGTTCTCTGACAGGATGTTAAAAAGAAGATGTTACCCACACCTGCAAAGTTCCACTACACCTTCAATCTGCGAGATTTGAGTCGGGTCTGGCAAGGCATGTTGACTGTCACTTCGGAGGTGCTCCAGGACGTTTCACTTCTGCTTCACCTATGGAATCACGAGATCACCAGAGTACTGCATGATAGGTTTGAGTTGTCTTATTTGTCTACACTTTATTCATTGTTCTCGTAGCCACTAATAGTAATAGTTAATACTGATGCATTTTCCCACTGAAATTGTTGCTTGTTTTCTCAATAGATGTGAATGAGATCCAGTGTTGATACTAAAAAACAGGGAAAACACTAGAACACTTCACTTTGTCCAGGTTTACGAATGAACAGGACAAAGATAAGTTCTACGTAATGGTAGACGAGTTGATGAAGGAAAATTTCCCAAATGATCCAATTCAGGAGGACAATTACTTCATTGATTTCATGAGAGAAGCTCCAGAGGTACAAGCTAAAAAGCTAAAACTAATTCTAGGGATTGGAAAAATTTCATGTTCATTAATCAGATCTCACGATTTGATTACATTGACCAGTAACCAGGGGTGTAGGAAGCGGGGGGGTGGGGGGGGGGGGGGGGGGGGGGGGGGGTGGGGGCAGGGGGGACATCGCCCCCCATGAAATCTGGGCAAGGGGCCAAAAAGGGCCAACTTTTAAATTTTTGAGAACATTTTTTTTACAAATCAATAATTTTTTAAGTCAAAAATTTTCAAATTTTCTTGGAAACTACTTTTGTTCATTACATGTTTCATGCTACCCTGATCATTATGAGCCAAACATATTTTTTCGGTTTTCGAAGTCCGCACCTTCCCTTCGATAAACGATTTTGGACTCGAGGGTTCCCCTTTTTAATGCGATCTCGGAAGGTGGGCCTCCCCTTCGCAATACGAGCTCGAAAGCGGGAGCTCTGCTTTGAGAGGTACGTATCGAAAATGACTCGGACCGAAAATTTTCTAGTCAAAATTTTTCAAAGTTTTTCTGAAAATTACTTTTGTTCATGTTTTATGCTACCCTGATCATTCTGAGCCGAAAATATATTTTCCGGTTTTTTGAAGTCTGTACCTACATTCGGAAGGTTGTGGATGTCAGGCTTCGGCGCGAAGCGCCAAAAAATATTTAGAATTTGGCCCTCCCATGAAGAAAAATGAAAATCATTCCTACACCCCTGCCAGTAACGTGATGACGTTTCTACTTTCAGGTAACAGGTGAAGAGCCCGACGATGCTGATCTGAGTGCGCCTAAAATTTATGAGAAGATGGAAACTTTCCAAATCTTGACAGAAAGACTCCAGGGTTTTCAAGACAATTATAACGAATCAATCAGGGGTTCCAGCATGGATTTGGTCTTCTTCGAGGACTGTATGACTCATCTGATCAAAGTGTCCCGTATCATCAGAAGTGATATCGGGAGTGCCCTGCTTGTGGGGGTGGGAGGTTCAGGGAAACAGTCAGTCACCAGGATGGCTAGTTTCATCGCTGGATACGTTGTGTTCCAGATTACTCTCAGCAGATCCTACAACATCTCCAATCTTTTAGAAGATCTCAAACATCTGTACCGTATAGCTGGACTCAAGGGACAGGGTGTTACTTTTATTTTCACTGACAACGAGATAAAGGATGAAGCGTTCTTGGAGTTTATCAACAATATTCTCTCTTCTGGTGAAGTATCTAACTTATTTGCCAAAGACGAAGTTGATGAGATTCTCAACGATCTAATTCCTATAATGAAGAAAGAGTTACCCAGACATCCCCCGACTGGGGAGAACTTGTACGAGTATTTCATAGCCAGGGTTAGGATGAATCTGCACATCGTTCTGTGTTTCTCCCCGGTGGGAGAGAAGTTCAGATCACGAGCTCTCAAGTTCCCTGGTCTGATATCTGGCTGCACAATGGATTGGTTCAGGCCTTGGCCCCGGGACGCCCTTATCGCTGTATCCAAATACTTCCTCTCGAGTTATGAAATGGACTGCACTCCCCGCACAAAGTCCGCCATCATCGAGAGTATGGGTACGTATCAGGACATTGTTTCCCACTCGTGTGCTGACTACTTTGAGATGTTCCGGAGGCAGACTCACGTCACTCCCAAATCCTACCTCTCTTTCCTCAACGGTTACAAGACCTGCTACAGAGAGAAGTCTGACGCCCTCAACGAGCTCGCCAGGAGAATGAACTCTGGTTTAGAGAAACTTCTGGAGGCAACAGATAGCGTGGGGCAGCTGAAGATAGAACTGGCAGAGAAGGATGTGGAGTTGGCTGTGGCGAGTAAAGAGGCAGATGTTGTGTTAGAGGACGTCACTGTTAAGGCTCAGGGCGCAGAGAAGGTTAAGGCTCAGGTGCAGGTTGTGAAGGATAGAGCTCAGTCTCTTGTTGATATTATCAACGCGGATAAGGCGGTCGCTGAGGGGAAACTGCAGGCCGCTGAACCAGCGCTAAAGGCAGCTGAAGCAGCTTTGCTAACAATCAAACCGTCAGATATTTCAACAGTGAGGAAGCTAGCGAAGCCACCTCATCTTATTATGCGTATCATGGACTGTGTAATAATTTTGTTCCAGAAGAAGTTGAACGCTGTACTCCCTGATCTAGACAAACCTCAGTTTTTCAAACCATCTTGGTCTGAATCTCTGAAGCTCATGTCTCAGAGTACCTTTATCGCGAATTTGCAGCAGTTCAAGAAAGATTCGATAAATGAAGAGACGGTTGAGCTCCTGGAAGCATACTTCCGTTCTGAAGATTATACGTATGAGTCAGCGAAGAAGGTGTGCGGTGACGTGGCAGGGCTACAATCCTGGACCAGTGCCATGGCTGACTTCTATACTATCAACAAAGAGGTCTTACCTCTAAAAGCTAACCTTTTCATCCAAGAGAAGAAACTGGAGGGTGCTATGTCTGAGTTATCTGTTGCACAAGAAATGTTAGACGCCAAACAGGCGGAACTTGACGAAGTTCAGGCAATATACGATGCAGCCATGTCCAAGAAACAGCAGTTGTTCGACGATGCATCCATGTGTGAAAGAAGAATGAAGGCTGCAACGGCTCTCATAAACGGTCTTAGCGGAGAGAAAGTCAGGTGGACCGAGGAAAGTCTCCAGTTTAAAGCTACCATTAAACAACTTGTCGGTGATGTTCTCCTGGCTGTTGGGTTCCTGTCTTACTCAGGGCCCTTCAACCAGCTCTATCGAAGTTTACTGTTCGACAAATGGAAAGCCGATCTTCGGAAGAATGATATTCCTTTCAAAGAAGACATTGATGTCGTGAGTTTTCTATCGACTCAAACTCAGATAGGAGAGTGGAATCTTCAAGGTCTGCCCAACGATGAACTTTCAACTCAAAACGGTATTATTTGTACCTCCGCCTCTAGATACCCTCTTCTAATTGATCCTCAAGGACAAGGAAAAGTATGGATCAACAATAAAGAAGGGCCCAACGGTTTAGTGGTTACAAATCTCTCACAAAAACATTTCAGAACACATCTCGAAGACTCCCTATCTTTAGGAAATCCTCTTCTTATCGAAGACGTGGGAGAGGAACTGGATCCAGCATTGGACAATGTTTTGGAGAAGAACTTCATCAAATCAGGATCCACACTAAAAGTAAAGGTCGGAGACAAAGAGTGTGATGTGATGGGCGGGTTTATCTTGTACATCACCACTAAACTACCTAACCCAGCATATACACCCGAAATATCAGCTAGAACAAGTATCATAGATTTCACGGTCACTATGAAGGGTCTTGAGGAGCAGCTGCTGGGACGAGTAATCCTCACAGAGAAGGCTGAGCTGGAGAATGAGAGAATTTCAATGTTGGAGGATGTCACCCTGAATAAGCGCAAGATGAAAGAGTTAGAGGATAACCTTCTTTACAAGCTGACCTCAACTCAGGGTTCACTTGTAGACGATCCTACTCTAATTGAGGTTTTGCAAATTACTAAAGTTACCGCGGGTGAGGTTAACGAGAAGTTGGTTATTGCTGCGGAGACAGAGCTGAAAATAAACTCAGCCAGAGAAGAGTTCCGGCCAGTTGCTTCAAGGGGTTCTATCCTATATTTCCTGATCACTGAGATGAGCATGGTGAACGAGATGTACCAGACCTCTCTTGTGCAGTTTCTCAGTCTGTTCGATCGCAGCATGGAAAAGTAAACACTTTTAATTTTAATTTTTTAGAAATTTCATGTCGTCATCCCAAGGAGATGCGTTTCAGTTTTTCGTGTTTTTACCTTAGAGAAACAGTCTGTCCCTGAAATTATAACAGCGGTTTATAATAATAATATGTCCCATTGTCAGATCTGAAAAGAGTCCAGTAACATCAAAGCGCCTCACGGCTATCATTGAGCACCTGTCATTTGCTGTGTTCGAGTACACCTGCCGAGGTCTTTATGAGGATCACAAGTTCCTCTTCACGTTACTCCTTGCTCTGAAGATTGATCTGAGCAGAGAGAAGGTCAAACATCAGGTAAGCTGATTGTTAAATTTGTGACACTCAATTTTATTCGAAACGGAACTCCAATATGCCGTTCTGTGATTCTCCAGAAATGTTTGATAAATTTATGGTTACCGTGAGATTTATTTCGTGATGTAAAAGCTTTTGTTATTTCAGGAATTCCAAATCCTAATAAAAGGAGGAGCAGCTCTAGATCTGAATGCCGTTGCTCCAAAACCAGCCAGCTGGATTCTTGACATCACCTGGTTGAACATAGTCAGCTTGAGTGAACTTCAGCAGTTTGACGACCTCCCATCCAAGGTTAACACTTGACTATTAAATCCCGTCACGTACGCTACAAGTTGAGCTGCTTGACGTCATACTACTGAATGCATAGTGTTTTAAACATCTACTTAAAAGCGATCAGCCAATCTACGTCAACCGTCTGGGTGATATTGTCGGTTACCAACACTACTTAAGCATTTAATGTAAAATAAAGTATACCTGACTTTCGTAAAACGTAAAACAGATTATACTTTTAATGAATGGCCGTTGATTTAAATTAGTTCTGCTTCTAGAGAATCATATTTACTACTTATTACTTGTATTGATACGACTAGACAGTAAAATACCTTGAATACTTGTTGACTCAATCTCGGTTTAATCTTGATCTTAAATTATTTGTTAAATAGTATTGTAAGTACTTCATATCAACACCGAATGAAGTGCTGGGTGCTGTATTATTAACCCCACCCAAAACCCCAGGTCGCTACGAACGAGAAGGCGTGGAAGAGGTGGTTTGACACGGATCAGCCGGAAGAAGAGGAAATGCCGGACGGATACAACCAGTCTCTGGACGTGTTCCGGAAATTACTCATGATCAGGGCCTGGTGTCCGGATAGAATCATTCCACAGGCTAGGAAATACATTGCAAGTGCGATGGGCCGCAAGTATGCGGAGGCTGTTATCTTGAATCTAGAGAAGACTTGGTCAGAGAGTGACCCGGTTACACCATTGGTTTGTCTCCTGTCTATGGGAAGTGATCCCACAGCTAGCATTGAGAATCTCGCTAAAAACAATAAACTCGAATGTAGGAGCATTTCGATGGGTCAAGGTATGTCTTTGAAATACGAATGATATACAAAATGAGCTATAAATTAATTAACATGATGAATAATTGCATATCTAACAATTAGCCGATATATTGACTAATTAATCAGGAGTTAATTAATAATTAGTTACTGAACTGCAGGTCAGGAGATTCACGCTCGGAGGCTACTGCAGAGTTTCATGAGCGGAGGAGGCTGGGTCCTGCTTCAGAACTGCCATTTAGCTCTTGGATTCCTGGACGAACTGTTGGAGACAGTAACCACAGCAGAAGATACCAACGAACACTTCAGACTGTGGATGACAACTGAGATACATCCTAAATTCCCCATCAACTTCCTCCAATCATCTATCAAGTTTACCAACGAACCTCCCCAAGGACTGAAGGCCGGATTGAAGAGGACCTATTCTACGGTTACAAAGGAACAGTTGGAGATAACCAGTGCTCCTCAGTGGAAACCTATGTTGTACGCTGTAGCCTTCCTTCACTCTGTTGTTCAGGTTTGAAATATTTTAAAGAAATTGCTGTTTAGGAATGTGAACAAAATGCTATAATTTCGCATCTGAACAAACCGAAACACTGCCTCACCGATAGAAATATTTTACATTCCTAATCCTTATCAGGAGCGAAGAAAGTTTGGTCCGCTAGGATGGAACATCCCATACGAGTTTAACCAGTCTGACTTCACTGCAACAGTCCAGTTCGTACAGAACCATCTAGACGACATGGATCCTAAACGAGGTTTGCAACTGTTAAGTTATAGGGGTGTCAATCCTGACCAGCGGGTTTTCGCTATTCGCAATTTATCTCGGAAATCTTTGTGAAAGTGTCAATGTTCAATGTATATAAAATGTTGCTACAATATTTCAAAAATGAACTTGGTATTTGATCATGAACTGTTTTTAGGAGTCTCGTGGGGTACTGTGTGTTACATGATAGGAGAGGTACAGTACGGTGGTCGAGTAACTGACGACTTCGACAAGATCCTCCTCAATACCTACGCTAAAGTCTGGTTTAGAGACAACATGTTCAATAAAAACTTCTGCTTCTTCAAAGGGTAAACTCTTTTTAATCGATAACTGAAACTCGTGACTCGTCAATCATAAGTGTTTTCATGTATCGTCAGTCATAGGCAAGTCTGTTTGGTGAACGGCTAAACTATAGGCGCATGGGATTTCAACTATTGAACAGTTTAACCTACTTTCCAATCCACCATATCTACTTGGGGGTGTACTATGGTTATAGGGTTGAGGACATCTATATTTTTTGAGTAAATAATAAATCAGCGTATAACCGCAATATCTCCACTTATTTAATTTCTACGTACTTCTTCATGATTTACGTTTTTTGTGAAAGTGCTCAGCTAGATTATATAACTAGAAGTAAGAGCACTTGGCAGGTTATAAGTGAAACTTAAGGTAGTTTTAAATATATATATTATATGATAAGTATATTCAAATAGTTCAGTCTCCAACTTCCACTCACTTCATCTCGGTATTTTAATATCTATATTTAAACTAGATAATGTTCCCATCACTATCTAGCTACCAGTTGACACAGACTGTCAGATCCAGATAAATTGTGCGTATCTGGGGAAGTGAAATAAAATCTCAAAATAAAAAGCTCGCGATTATCAAGTAATTTATACAGATATAAGAGAACATTGACAGGTATTTAGACGAAATCCAAATTCACACACACACACAATAATACAGGTACATAATTCCTGAGTGCAACTCCCTGGAACAGCACCAGGCTTACATAGAAACACTACCACTCACAGACACACCTGAGGTGTTTGGTCTGCACGCAAACGCTGATGTGTCATACCAAAGCAAGGTCCGTACTCCGCCAGTACTCGGCTACCATGTCTCCAAGTCCAAGTTTTAGAGCATTTAAAGCTGTTATGTTGTGCAATATCGTTAAACATGAGAATATTATGTTCAATCCGACAGTTTGATAGACTGTTAACCACGTTTAAATCTAGACCAATAACTTTAAATTTCGATTGCATTATCGTTATGCAGGTTGCGCGCGAGGCATTGGAAACTATCTTGAACGTGCAACCTAAAGACAGTGGAGGAGGAAGCGGGGAAACAAGAGAAAGTGTAGTTTACAGACTGGCAACGGAGATGTTGTACAAGCTTCCTCCTGACTACGTGGCTCACGAGGTCAGTTTTACCGTTCTTGCATGTCCATGTCATGTCATGAAGTATTGTTTTTATTTAAGGGTAGTCACTAGTCATCTTTAGTCATCTAGTAAGGTTGTAAGTTCTTCATATTCAGGTGCGAGCAAGGATTATGAAGTACGGTCACCTTGCTCCGATGAACATCTTCCTCAAACAAGAGATAGACAGAATGCAGCGTGTCATCCTCGCTGTTAGGATTTGTCTTCAGGTGCGCCAGTTTATTGTATTAGCATACTACTTCTGAAGATTTTAAATTTGATCCGATAGAGATCCCACAATTTTATAGTAGTTATGTCTTAATTTGCATTGTTTAACATTCACTCATATCTCTGTTTGATCCCAGGATTTGAAGCTAGCTATAGACGGCACGATTATCATGAATGAGAACTTGAGAGACGCACTGGATAACATGTTTGATGCCCGTATCCCCTCACTCTGGCTAAAGATATCCTGGGAGAGCTCAACTATAGGATTTTGGTTCACTGAGCTGCTTGAACGGACCACCCAGTTCAGTTCTTGGATATTCATGGGCCGACCCAAAGTGTTCTGGATGACAGGGTTCTTTAACCCTCAGGGTTTCCTGACGGCTATGAGACAGGAGGTTACGAGAGCTCACAAGGGTTGGGCTCTTGATTCTGTTGTCCTGTTCAACGAAGTTTGTAAAGTTTTTAAAGAGGATATCGCCACCGCTCCCGCAGGTGAACGTTGTTCAATATTACTGTTATCTTGTAAAGGGGCCGTCCTTAAATTACGTCGGTGAATTTGGCTTATTTTTTAGCCCCCTCCTCATCGTCGCCTTAAGTGGTAAAATTTAAACTCCCACCACCATTTTTTGACGATTTAATTTAAGGATGGCCCCTCAATGATCGTAATAACATATTGAAATTATTCGAATATCACATAGATTTTATATTACTGAAAGATAATATTTGATGAGGATGAGAGACAGAGGAACTTCCCGCAGCACATTGAAGCTACACCACCAAGACCTGATGTAGTGATCTATTCAGATAAAGCAAAGAAGGTTTATCTTTAATGGAGCTGACTTGTGGAAATGAGCAGAACTTTGTTGATCAAGAGAAGCGAAAGATGAAGAGATATCAGCAGCTGACAGAAGAGATAGAAGCCAACGGATGGGCTTGCAAGCTCCAGACAGTAGAAGTGGGAGCTCGAGGCATTTACAACTATAGCCTCCCAACCTTTATGAACCACCTGAACGTACAGAACAAAGAGAAGCAGAAGGCCTGCATGAAGATCGCTGAGATCAGCCTGAGGGCATCGTATACCATCTATTTGTCCAGAAACACTACCATATGGACAGATGATTGGGAGTTAGTCAAGAGACCAGTAATAGCATAGTAGGAGCGTAGAATGTTTGGGCCCAGAAAAACATGTTTAATACCGCTATGAGCCCGTCATATGCCGGGGACTACTATGAAAGTGATGATGCTGTGTTGTTGAAAGACCTTCAACCAATCAAAGATGTACCTCATCACGCCAAGCAGTTATGCTTGTATGTGAATATACACTTATAGAGTACAACAACTTTATAACACTCCCATCCATATAATATCATATTAATATCACATTAATATAATATTAATATCTTATTAATATTGCAATAACATTATGTTAATATTATATCAAGATTCTATGAATATTTTATGGATAATAATATTTTTAATACAATATCACATTAATATTATCTCAATATTATATTCATATTGAGCGCTTTTATTTATGCAAATCATGGCGCCTCTAGCGTGGCCTTCGATAATCACAACAGATGCATTCTCTATATTAACAAAAATATTAAACTTTCTGAAATTTGAAGTTTAGATATAGTACAGTCAAATACGTTTTTTTGTCGGACAAAATTCGCAACAAAGCGATTTTAACGGGAAATGGTCAGGAAAGGTCTCAGGAATCATTCCAGAGAATTCCCAAATTTCTGACTTGAGCAAAATCCACAATTACCACTTTTTTACCACTTTTTACCACTTTGGTTTTCCGCAAATAAGTCACGTTCTGAATATCCTAGAAGATTTTAGTTTAAAGCAGTGTGTTTAGAAAGCAAAGAAGAACAACTTTTTCTTAAACAACTTTTTTAAAAATAAATTATTTAATTAATTGATTAAATAATTAATAAATTTTCAGATATTTCAAAAATATATTTTGATAAAAAATGTTCACAATTACATTACACGTATAATGAACTAATTTTTATAAAACTTTTGGAAATTTTCACTTGCAATATTTTGGACTTTTCGAAAATAACGTTAACGCTGACTAACAATTAAAATAAAAGATTTGGATCATTATTACAGTTTAATTTCAGAGGGTGTGTATGTTCACGGTTTGTTTTTGGATGGCGCAAGCTGGGACAAAAAGAACGCTAAACTTGCTGAACAAGCTCCCAAAGTATTGTTCGTTCCCCTTCCTGTCATTCACATTTTCGCGGTCAATAATGCCAGGTCAGTGAAATGCTCTTAACTTTACTATGGTTATAATCTAGTGGGAAATATTTCAAATTATTGCTGAAAAGTTATCACCCTTATTCCTGAATTCTGAGCTCTTTTTAAATTCCATTATTTCAGTCCCGGTGGAAAGATAAAAGACCCAAATCTGTACATGTGTCCGATCTACAAAAAGCCCAAAAGAACTGATTTAACTTTCATCACGAGTGTGTTCCTCAAAACCAGCCAGCAGCCCGAGCACTGGATCATGCGGGCTGTAGCTTTGCTCTGTGATATCAAATAAACATCAAATATATATTATTATGTAGAACCAGACTGTTGATTGTAAATTGTTGTAGACTTTATATCAAAGACTGTATCCAATAAACCTATTTATATATTACCATGTTATTCGAAGTAGACTATTTAATAATGAAATTGAATTCGATAAAAAAAATGAAGCATGTGTATAACATGACAAAGTTTAATTTCTGCTCGATAAAATGTTAGACAATACTGATATCATCTATTTTTGATATGAAGTGAAGCAGGCTTCGTTTTGTGTAAAAATATTAAAGATTAAGAAATGACAATTAAAATTTTGTATGGAATTTATTTTCCAAGTGAATAAAAGCTTCGTTTTGTGTGAAAAAGTTTCAAAATGAAGCAACTATATTTACTTTTTAAGGAATGTTTTCTTTTCAACTCAATTGACTTCTGTTTTCAGTTACAAATTATTCCTATTTCAGTCCACATATACTGTGTTTTATGAGTTTCTGGCATCTATATAGATAATTCAATATAAATCAATTGTCCTGGTCTAGAACGAGGCATTAACAATAAATTGTCTTTGTGGGTTAATTCTATTGATCCATGGGAGCAATATTTTTCATTTTTAGAGTTTAGAACACATGACAAGGAAGAAGGTCACAAAGTGGTAGTTTATGTTTAACCTCGGATGTCAGTAATCCAGGATAATGTAGAGGAAATCGGAAAGATCATTATCGAATGCGAAATGCTTTCATGAATTCAGATATTCCAGCAAACATACTCACAAAGTGATCAATTTTATGATTTTACTTTATTGAATGTTAGGCAAGCTGCTATGGTAGTTGGTTAGTTATTAATTGTGAACAAGAAAACAAACTTAAGTTTTTTGTAAAACAAGTTTCAAATAAATCATTAAAATTTAATCTTTATAATTGCAATAAAATTAAAGGTATTTAAAGGTTCATCAAAGGTGTAATCTAAAATCACGATTGTAAACTTGAAACTGTTCCTAGTCACACTTTTGTCGGTTTGAAGTAAAGGGGTCAATATCGAATATCATTATAAATTATAGTTATACAGCAAATTTTGCATAATTATTCACTAATTGATTGCGAAAATGAATGCTCAAGGTAAAATTTTAATTACATTAATCAATGTCCGATGTAATTTAATTATCAATCTAACACATTTAAAACCTGTAATATCTCTCATAAATTCATTAGGGGTCAATTAATGAATAGTAAAAACATTAGGTTGGTCTATATCTAATAAAACATGAAATCTCGCGGGTCAATAATTTTGAAGGTCAACAATAATATCACAATAAAGCAGTCCATAAAATTAAGTTAAAAACAATACAAATACAGCTAAATTAATGTTTTGCAGTCTCCATGCTCAGAGTTATTAAATGCTAAAATCTGGAAAAGATCAATGTCAAATTGTTAAAACTTTGTTTCTACTTCAGTAATAGTTGTTAACAACTACTAACAGATTACTAACACTAACAGTTACTAACACTAGGCTCAGTCCGTGTGACGTCAATCCTCGTGCTTGCCGAGCGGGGGGTTGGTAGCTGTTGACTGTCTTTGTTCTGTCAAGTTTATCGTTGTTGTAGACTGTCTTTGTTCGGGGCCGTTTATCGTTGTCGTGACAATGGAACTCCTGCGGTTTGTGATGGTCCCATTGGATACCATACCCACCATGGGGTTAGCTATCACTCCGTCTTCAGAAGTGCCGTTGGTGTTAGACATCCTCGTGGAAAATGGTAGCCGTCTCCCCTGTTCCTTTAAACATCTGAACAGAGTAGCTGTTTTGTACAGCGTCTCCTTGTAGAACTTCCTAAGACCTGCCATCCTCCAGTACCAAATCAGAGGAGTCACCACAGCGTGAAGTCCAGCACACATCACCAGGGAGAAGGTCACGAAGTGGTTTTTTGTGTCGAAACTTAGCAGGGAGGTTGCTCCTTCCGGTCTTAGCAGATCCGAGAAAGCCAGTATCATGTAGATAACATTGGGAAGATTAAGGACGGTGTAGTTCACAGTTGCCAGCAGGATGGTGTAAGTTGCTCGCAACTTCAGTTTGTCAGGAGGCTGCCTGAAGCGAACTTTGTTGAGGTTGTTGATAGCTCGTTTCTTGCAGAAGAGCCTCTCCCACCAGTTTATCTCCCTCTGAGGACACTGCACATCAAGGTCCTCTGTCTCTGCTCTTTGTTGTCCAATCAGAAGGACGTAGGAGATACAACAGCTCAGTAGCACTGCTATAAAAGGGATTACTCTCTCCACTATATTAAATAGGCCAAATATAATCCAGTATTTTTGAGAATCTTTTCCAAAGAGTCCTTGGTAGTCCCAGTGACAGATCAGAAAGTCTGAGTTGAGGGAGTAGGAAGACTTGAAAAAGTAGGGGAGACAAACCTGTATGACCATCAGCAGAATGTAAAGACATATCACCCCCTTCACCACAGCCATGGAGTTTTTGGCAAAGGGGAACAAGAGTGCCTTCGTCCGACAAACGTTGAAAGTAAGGATTAGGAAGATTGACATCTGGTTGGAAATGGTCCAGAACATTCCCCATACATTGCATATTGTATGGTCGCTGAGCCAGCTGGTGCCTTCCTCCAAGAAGGACACTCCCACAGGTAGCAACATGATGCAGAGCAGGAGGTCTGTAAGGGTGATGTTAGAGTAGAGGAGATTGGCAATGTCTCCTTTCTTTGACTTTGAGAAGAAGTAGGCCAGAGTGAAACTGTTAGTCAGACCTCCCACAACGAAGACTAGCACAGAAACCAGACCATAAGTCCAACCCACCGCATCCACAGTCGGCTTTATCAGCTGTCCCATCCTCGATCACAATATCTAACTGAGAATCAAGTATTTAGGATCGGAATTTTACTAATATATTACTCCCAGCTAGCTGTAGCTACAATATGACGGTGAAAATATCGAATGAAAACATAATAGTTTTGCAAGGAGGGTATTTCAACAGACACTAAACGACACGTGTAATACGTCACAGCAAGTCACGTGGTCACGTTGATTGTTAAATGGTAACCAAAAATCCAATAAAACCTAATAGGTTGTTCAACGTATAGAGATTATTGGACATCTCGTTACTACTTAACAGGTTTACTGTGGCGCAAAATCTAATTTCAGTTATGATGTTGCCCAATATCAATCTTACACGGTTGAGCGAAACGGTTTGATCTAGCTGTTTAAGAATGAAGGAGCATGGATCGTATTACGACACTCGACCATCAGTCTCGGAACTAAAGGCAAGAAAACAAGCGGAATAACTATAATATAGAGTTAAACTTAAAGTGACAGTCGAGTGGCTTGTAACCATCATACTCTGTACTCCATTGAGCATAAATATATTAAGTTGTAAACTAACACTGAATCGTCTAAAAGGTATCCGCAGAATTCGTTTTGGTTTTAGTGCATGGTAAAGCACTAAAAATCAAACGATTTCTTGCATCCAACATAAGCTATAGCAACATAAAAAACATTACTCGGGTAAAACAAATCGTTTATACTGTTTATGTTTAACGTTTAAGCCCGCAAGCTACAAAAAGTGCTATTTTATGATGGCCTCTGTAATAATGTTAAAATTATAATATATTATATATATGTACATTAATAAGCTTATCTTTGATTTTCCATAAACGCTAATATTCATTTAAAAGCAACGCATCGAATTAAATTAACTAGGCTTCTCTAGAAGCTGCTATACATTTTAAATGTTTGATGGCCAACTTAAAGACAAAATCAAATGTGCACTTTATGTTGCTTTTGGTGCATATTATTTTGTAAGGTCGAGTGAATACTAAATAGTTAAACGTTTACTTTGAATTTTGTACCAAAGCAAAGGAAAGACTTACATTTTAAATATTAGTTTAAGTACCAGTTGGTACCAGCTCGGCAATCTAATTTTCAAGTCTGACTGTTAAACAAGCTAATCGGGGGATGACCTTTTTGAGATTTTGCAGGACATTTCTCTGCACTCTGGGGAATAATCTAAATTTAAAACTGCAATTGTTTTCAAGCAGCCTAGTTAAAACATGCACCCCAACGCGTAGTCCATTTTGATTTAGTATCAGACATTAAATTAAATTGAGACTTCGTAAATTGTTGTGGGTTACCAGAAACAATGATAATCGATTATCAGTACAGTTGTTTTATAAATATGATAACTTGATCATCTCAGCCCTGATCAGTCCAGGACCGGTAGCTTTTAAAATTCCATTGACTAATTCATTACCCATAATTTATAATTAACTTTTGTATCAGGGTGACTTTTTGTCTTTAATATTACATGGAGAAAGTAGAAACAACTATTGCGCAGAAGATTAATGATCACTACTAATTCCTATTTTTAATAAGAAACGAAAACATGTAGGGCAATGAGCCATCAAGTCATAGTTAAAGGTTTTGGTCGAAACTGGAAACGTCAGTCATATCTTTTTTTGACTTGTAACAGCGAATTAGCAATCAACTATCAGTAACGACCAATAAAATTGCAGTATCCCTGTCACGTGTCAAAACAAATATGGATCCCCTCCGTCCTCTTCACTATTGGTGTAACTATTAATCAGGTCTGGCTTATTTAATTAAGATTATCAGCACTTTTCGAGCAGATGTGATCAAATTGCTATCAGGAATGAGTGAGACCTCGCTACTATTGTCAAGTTTGATTTGCTATCCTTAACATTTCCAATAAATGTTAGGATCGTACTCAAATCACTCAATGAGCAGCCCAAATTGTTAGTGACCAAAAAATGAACGACTCTAACTATAAGTATAAGCAGTAGAGGGAAAATGTCTAAAATAATTGAATTTATTTGAACAAATTGTTTGCTGTGTGTATACACTTATACAGGTTACCTAAAAGCTAGAAGTCGGCAACTTCTTCGTGCTAATGCAGTGCGTTCCATCAGCTTTGGAAGATATGGAACAGTCGAACTATAAGAACGCCCACCAAGATCCGTATCTATACCACTCCGTATCTATACCACTCCAACGACTAGGAGGAGACCTCTTCATGTAGCATTTATGTATGTAAAACTGCCCCAAAATCAGTCACAAGAGTCTGGTTAGTGGTTGAACACATTTGATAATGATATTTAGAATTCTGCCGTTTTCTCAGAAAAAGAAGTAAGTCCATCGTCGCCATTTTCGTACTTACTTCCTTTTCTGAGAAAAATGTGACTTACTTCCTTTTCTGAAAAAAATCTCTGTTTTATCTTTTTCTGAGAAGGAAGTAAGTCCAAGCCTTATGCCCAATTTTTGAGGCTGGGATCTATGTATTTTGGATTATATTTTCAAATATAAACAATTAGGTTAATCTAAATTGCTCCATATCATATAATAAATGTTTTTAAATAATACAGGGTGGCCCAAAAGTAACTGCCCACACGCAACCCTTTAATAACTCACGTAATTCTTCTTAGAATTGCACAGAAATTTCAGAGATTATAGATATGGGTCAAACTTAGATTTCCTGAAAGTTTCGTCAAATTTAATTAATTGCAGTGGGTGTGGCCAGTGGTACGCCACTCCCTTTTTTAAACTATTGTCACCATAAAGTGAGAACGCTTTCAGCTAGGAACTTCAAGGTTTCTAGACATATTTGGTTTCATAATTTAAGTCTTTTCCCAAAATTTCAAGTTGGTCGTTCACAATTTAACTGAGTAATGACCCTTTTAAGATATTGCAGATACGTGATCCAGCACTTAATCAGTGATATCGTCACTCAATCAATGCCCTGATTGGTTGGAGACTGCTTATAGGACAGCAACTGAAGCGCTTGGAATCCAGAAAATGATTCAATCAGCAAGGACTATGTCGTGATGGGTGGTGAGCGTTTTCAGAGACATGATATCACCATTAACACCATTAACATACAATGCTTACTCTTTTCAAAACAATGGTGCGGAGTAAGCAAGAAATATAATTTTGCTGCTTGTCTGGAATCACCAAAGATCACAGACATAGAGACTATAGAAAATATTTCCGATTGGCCACCAAAGATGGTAACATTGGCATGCTGTTCAAAAACAACCCTGCGACATTGATTAGAAGCTACTGGCGTTCTGGTTACTAAGGCGTTAGTGCCGAGTAATGCCTCCGGGTAGTGCTCCTCAATCAACTTAACAAAAATCAATGCATTCTTTGGCTACAAACTTTGAGAACTTTTTAGAAATTGGAGTAAACGCGACACAGCTGTGAAACCCATGGGCCATGCCTACATTTGATCTGTTAAAATTCTCACTTGTCAAATTTCTCAAAGACTTTCCCGACACGCCCTAATAACAACTCAATCTCGGAATAGTGCTTACAAAAAACTCCAACGAGTAAACGGAGGGCGTGTTTCATACTGTTGTCCTAAAGTGATCCCAGCCAAACCTTTTTTAAGCACTCTAAGTAAGTAGAAGAACTGATAAGGTATCTAAGCAGCAGTCAGTCCCAATTGAAGAATACGGATTGAAGGATAATGAAATTAGCTATAAATGTACTATATCTGATTTGTACTATATCTGATTTAACAGGTAGCTTTAAGAGCTTAAACTGCAATGTAAAATACTAAAGGTGAAACCGGCGAAATTTCGAGCTGTTGCAGTATAACAGTATTCATCTTGGAGACACCACCGAATTTAATCGCCTCTCATTCACTGTACGTTGGTCCGAAGGTAAAACCCTGTAAGATACGCATTTTAAGGAAGGACCCCACAATCTTATTTAAAATCCTAGCTATTCAAAACCCAAATGCTATGATTAAATTGGCTTTGGGATGACTAGAAAGGTCGAAGATAGTACCATGACCAAGAGGAAAGTGCTGAGTTTAGGTGCAACCCAATTAATCAAATATTCATGTTATATTTCAAAGCGGCATACATAACATTGTAACTGTAAGCACGTCTAACTTTAATGAATCTTGATGAATTGGAGTGTGCCATCCAAACTTGAATTTATTTGAACAGATTGTTTGCTGTGGGTATACAGGTTACTTAAAAGCAGGAAGTCAGTAACCTCATCAATTACCAAATACTTGAATAGCACCCGTAATTCTTGTCAGAATTGCACAATAATTTCAGAGGCCCTCGGATGAGTCAAATAAAGCTGTTTTTCTACAGAATACAAATCCATTTAACCAATTATTTGGCTGTCTTCGGATGGACACTCAAGGGAAAATTTAAGGATTGCACCCAACAAATTATTTTGAATGGATAAAACTGCCCCAAAATCAGTCACAAGAGCATGGTTAGTGGTTCAACACATTTGAAAATGATATTTTAGAATTGTCCTGAGTTATTAAATGAGGTCTATTAAGAGTTTCATGAAAACTTTCAGACAATTCACATGACGTCAGACCACACCAAATTTCAGACATGGAACATTGTAGAGAACTGTAAAATAAAGGCCAACACTTGAATCCCTAGGTTAGTGTGTAGTGGTTACTGTCACAAAGGAGTGCTAAATTAGTTGTTAGTGCCCTTAACAGATTTTGAAAGAAACTATTTTCACTTAACCTATGATGGGTGAAAGACTACAAGTAACAACAGCAAACCCTCACAATATACGTTTTAATGGAAAATTGGGCATAGTTTGAAATCGTCGCACTAATTATACAGACAGAATAATCGAAAGTAAACGAGACTATTGTGGTTTAAATGGCCCCGTAAAAACCATTCTACCAGTAGGTAGGTTTGAAATAAAGTACTCGATTAGTGGGAACATATTATACTCGAGTATAGTGACAGTTGGCAGTAGGGCACACAGCTCCTCTTCGTGCACCATTCAAAATGAACACATAGGTAAGGAGACTACTGGCGATCAGCGGAAAT